GCTGTTGACTCTGGTGCTGTTAGAGGTGCTGAGCGTGCGGGTACCGGGTCTGGGGGTGCTGAGCCTGGGGGTGCTGAGCCTGGGGGTGCTGAGTCTGGAGGTGCTGAGCCTGGGGGTGCGGAGCCTGGGGGTGCTGAGTCTGGGGGTGCGAAGCCTGGGGGTGCTAGGTCTGCTCGTGTGGCCGCCGGCGGTGCTTCATCGAGGTGGGAGCCACTCTCTCCACAGGAGCTGCGCGAGTGGTTTGCCTGGTGCTGGAGCCGTGTTGCTGGAGCTGGAGGTACTTCTGTTGGTGCTGGTCCCCGAGGTACTCGTACTGGCGGTGTTGGAGCTGCTGAGACTGGGGGTGCTGCTGGGGCTGCTGGAGTTGGTTCTGCTGGAGGTACTGATGGAGCTGCTGGCGGTACCGTCGCTGCCGGTCCTGCTGGAGCTGGAGCTGCTGAGGGTGTTGGCCATGGTGGTGCTGCTGGCGCTGGTGCTTCTGAGGGTTCTGGAGTTGGCGCTGCTGGAGGTGCAGTTGCTGCTGGCGCTGGTGCTGCCGCTGGGGGTACTCGTGCTGTCCCTGCTGGTTCTGGAGACGCTGCGCGGCCGCGGCCGTACTTTGTTCCGCTCCTTGAGCAGGATCTTGATCTCCTGCCCTCCACTGGTCCTGCTCCTCCCTTAGAGTGTCCGCAGCCTATCCAGTCGCAGTCACAGTTACAGCCCGCCTCCCCTCTTCCTGCTCCTTCTCCCTACACTGGTCCTAGTGGAGGTCTTGCTGCGTGCTGCTCGCACTAGTCGTCGTGTTCCGCGTCCGCGTCCTTCTGCGGTCCCAGGCACTCACCTGATGGCACTGCGTCCTTCCACTGCTCCTCTGCGTGTCCCGTTGCCGTCTCTTCCAGATTCCTCTCTTCCTGTCCTTGCTGACCCTGAGTCTGACTCTCTTCGTGCTGCCAGTCCTACTGTCACGCGTCTCCTTGCCACTGTTGTCACTGACCCTTCTTTTGAGTCCACTGCTGCGTCTGCCCTGGTTGCTGAGCTTGTCGACTTTGCTGCTCGCTGTCGTCTAGACTACGCCGCTATTCTTGTTGCTGAGTCTGAGTCCGTCTGTCCTCCGTCCGTCGGGGGTGAGTGTGCTCTTAGCACGGACGTCCTTGAGGACAGGCAGGAGGAGTTCCAGTGTTTTGCTGCTGCTTTGCCTCATCTCGTGTCCACGCTGATTGCCCCTGAGGGAGACCCGGATGCACCAGACATCCCGACTCCTCGATCATATGCTGAGGCGATCAAGGGCCCCTACTCCTCACAGTGGCAGTCAGCCATGGACGCAGAGATGGCTTCCTGGAAGTCCACAGGCTCCTACGTCGATGAGGTTCCTCCACCTGGGGCGAACATCGTCAGTGGCATGTGGATTTTCAGGGTGAAGCGGCCACCAGGTTCTCCGCCTGTCTTCAAGGCGCGTTTTGTGGCTCGAGGCTTCAGCCAGCGGCGGGGAGTTGACTACTTTCAGACCGTCTCTCCCACCTCGAAGATGACCACTCTTTGGGTGCTGCTGCACATAGCCGCTCAGCGCAACTACGAGCTTCACTCTCTTGAATTTAGCACAGCTTTCCTGCAGGGCAGTCTGCACGAGGAGATCTGGCTGCGCCACCCACCTGGCTTCATTGGGTTGTTTCCCCCTGGTACCTAGTGGAGCCTCCGGTGGCCAGTCTACGGTCTCCACCAGGCGCCCCGTGAGTGGCACGACACACTGAGGACTACACTTGCGGCTCTTGGGTTTGCTCCTTCTACAGCCGACCCGTCGCTGTTTCTGCGCACCGACACCTCTTTGTCGCCGTTCTACATCCTCGTGTACGTCGACGACTTGGTCTTTGCCACTGCTGACACTGCTGGACTCGCCCACGTGATGTCCGAGCTGCAGAAGAGACACACGTGCACAGACCTGGGTGAACTGCGCAGCCTTGGCTTGCATATCACCCGGGACAGAGCACAGCGCACCATTACCCTGACTCAGTCACACATGGTGCAGCAGGTCCTTCAGCGCTTCGACTTCACGTACTCCTCGCCTCAGGCCACTCCTCTGTCTACTCGCCACTCGCTCTCAGCTCTGCCTTCGGATGAGTCCGTAGAGCCGAGTGGCCCGTACCCAGAGCTTGTTGGCTGCCTCATGTACCTGATGACCTGCACACGACCTGACCTTGCATACCTCTTAGTATCTTGGCACGCTATGTTGCTCCTGGAAGACACCGACCAGAGCACATGGCTGCAGCGAAGAGGGTGTTGCGCTACTTGTGCAGTACGTCGGGCATGGGGCTAGTGCTTGGAGGGCGACGTTCAGTGGTCCTCACAGGTCACGCAGACGCTTCTTGGGCTGACGACCAGGCTACGCAGCGGTTTTCACAGGGTTACACCTTTAGTCTTGGTTCCGGCTCTGTTTCGTGGCGGTCTACCCGCTCGTCTTCTGTTCTCACCTCCAGCTGTGAGGCTGAGATCTACGCGGGGGCCATGGCTGCACAGGAGCTACGCTGGCTCACCTACCTGCTGACTGACCTAGGAAAGCCGCCTCGTTCTCCTCCAGTTCTGTACGTAGACAACAAGGTCATGCTGGCCTTGTGTCGGGAGCACAGACTGGAGAACAGAACGAAGCACATTGCTCTTCGCTACTTCCTTGCTCGTGAGCTACAACAGCGTGGTCAGCTGCGCCTTGCTTACGTGGCCTCTGAGGCCAACACTACTGATATCTTTACCAAGGCACTTCCGCCTGGTGATCATCAGCGCTTCTGTACGATGCTAGGTCTTGTGCCTACTTGGCCTCACTTGCTCACTTCTTGACCTTACTTGTACTGTGATCTTTCTATACCTGCACTTGCTTGTTTACCTTTTATATATGATCTTGCATGTGAACTGGCCTTGTGGCCTTGCTCTTGTGCTCGGAATGTGTGGTGACGTTGTGATCCACCCTGAGCTTGCTTTGCTTTGCTTGACTGGTCTTGTGACCTCTTGTTCTCCCCCACTTTGCCTATGGGGGTGTGTCAAACTGATATGCTATAGTCTGTGTAGGCTGTAGTGGGGTGGACAATATGGGGTACAGCATTTCTAGGTTTTCCTACTTGTACCCACCTGCTTGCTAGTTCATTCATTCCTCATTTCTTCACATTGTGTCCATCCAGCCGTGCTCCTACGCGCGTATGAGGATATCTACACACATAAGGCCGAATTCGTGTTAGTTTGAGTGGTTCAGGTGCACGATGAACTAGCAAGAGGAATGAACTAGCAGAAATGGGGATACAAATAGCAAACCCTAGAAGGGTTGTACTCGCTATAGAGCACCCCACTACAGGCTAGAACATAAGAATAATATTCTGACACACGACATCAAATGACCTTGTGAAATTCACTTATGGGCGGGATGTCAATCTTCCGTATGGTCTTGCGCTTGAAAACTACCATCGCTAGCAACTTCTCTCCGATCGCCGTTACACCGAGCACCTTTTCATACCCGGCACTGCGAACATGCACGGAACGTTCGCCACGGTGCGGTCGGACGGCATCTCGAGAAAAACGGATGTTTGGTCCGCGTTAGTCATGTTTCACGGATCGATCCTGTGCTTGATCACGTTCTTTCTCACAAACGTCAACAAACTTATGCACTTTGATTTGCACTCTGGACACAAAAGCAAGAGCCAGTTAGATAGAGCTACGGTTGCGTGAAACATCAACATCACATACGTAGATGTAGCTTACCTTTTGCGAGCCGTTGCCCCAACTTCGTCTTGAAGCATACGGAGAGCCCCCACCAAGCGCGGAATCGGAAATTGCAACGCAAGAATGCTCTCCAGTCCACATCAGGATGACTCTTCGCCATCGAATTCCTGCTCCACTGCTGGAGAAGCTTTATTGGTACCACTAGACCTCGCGCTCGGAAGGCGAGCAACTTGCGGTGTGCCACCTTCTCTATGTCCGGGTACTTGTCCTTACGGCCTCCCTTACTGAGACGCCTCCTGCATCCAGGAGCCCTCCTGATCTCCTCGACAGCTTTCATACAACGGCGCACACACACCGGCTAAACACCGGCGAGTCGAGCTACGTGGTGGACAGAAATATTTTCCTTTTCCATCCGCTCCAGCCAGCCAACCTTCTCCGCCATGGTATGCGCCACTCGACGATGCTGCGTAGGTTTGTTGCAGGGCTCGGGAGGGAGGGAATCACGTGTGGAGTCGTCGTGCAGAATCTCGCCAGGAAAGGACGGGACGGGGAAGTCCGCAATGGGACCATCGACATCGTCCGAAATTTCCACGTTCACTTCTTCATCGTTGGGAACATGGGACTCCTCACCGCAGAGGGGCTCGTACTCTTCGAGGAAACCCAACAAAGACAAGTGGTGCTGCCAGGGGTGCAGGAGGAGCAGGCGGTGCAGGTGGAGAAGGTGGGCTGGCGATGAAATCCGTATACCTTGCGAAGCAACTGGAGAATGGTTAACGCTACCGCGGCGTGAACGCCACGGGCTCTCAAAGGCAGACATCTTGGTGAAGCTATGGTAAGTGCCTATGCGGCTTTATCGTGAAAGGAGCCATGGGGGACGCACTATTTTTTTACCCTTTAATTCATATCTGAGTGCTTGAAAGAACGGAATGGCGAGAGAGTAGCAATGCTCGGTAGAGTGATGGACGTGAGACCTTAGGCACCCCACATCCGCATCACCTCGCAAAGGTGAGGCAAGGGGTCCAAAAGCGGAGGGATTAGGTGGATGTGTTGGCACTCAAGATGCCCTGCAACTCGATACCGTCATCGCCCGGATAGTAGACAGTGTTGAATAGTAGACAGGGGTTGTCTATTATCCGGATGTCTCTTATAAACAGACTAGCCTCGTTATAAGACACCTATTTGTGTGTATGAGATAAGACATATATGTCTTATAACCAGACCAGGGGTTTAGGGGGTTTCTTTTAAACAAGGGGTGTCTTCTAAACGATCACTAGTTCCTCTAGGGGTTACATGCATGTACATCTAAGAATATTTACTTCTACCTAGCCCTCCTCAGTCACGGCCTCCTCCCCTGCACTAACTCCAGGGTCAACACCCAAGTCTGGCACTCGCCAGGCATGCCTGGCCGTTTCCCTAGGCTCGATCATGCGGTCAGCCTCAGCCGCTGCTCCGCGGTAGTTGGGGGTCTCCTGGTACAGCACCTCCAGGCCGGTTGCCACTGCCACCTCCCTCACACCCTCCGCCTGCATCTCCTCCTCCTCCTCCTCTGGCGCCTGCCCAAGCAGGCGCGTGTTGTCGCCCGTGGTTCCCTCGAGGCTCATGTTCTCGGAGACATTGACACTGCTCCTGGCGCGTAGGTGAGACATCACCAGGTGGTTCTCCGTCCCGTCCAGCTTGCTTGAAATCACACAGTGGCGGAACACGTCAATGATGACCTGCTTGGGGACTTGATCCCACGCCTTCGCGATCCACTGCCTCACCACGGGGAGCGGAGGCCTCCGCAGGTTCCCTGCGTGTGGGTCAGAGGCATGGGTAGCGAGTCGTTAGAGACATGGAAAGAAAACAAAGCAAAAGTTGAATTCACATGGCTACTCACCCTTCTTCGTCTTTAGATGAATCCCTTCACGCATGAACCACCTGGCGTAGCGCGCTCGCACACTAGCCTTGAAGCACCGGTTGATGCTGACGTCAAGGGGTTGAATCTGGCTCGTGCAAACAGCTGGGATCACTGCAGGGGTGATCCTGTGCGTGCGGTAAGATTGGAGCATGGTCTGGGTGATGTGGCCACGGTAAGAGTCCAACACCAGCATCGCACGCCTCACGTTCTCGCCGCGCTGGGAGTTCAGATGGGGCAGCACCTCCTTGGTCAGCCAAGTCTGCACAGCGCTCTCGTCCATCCACCCGTTGTCCTGTGCTTGGCATACGATTCCTGCCAGGCATATAGGGGATATACGGGTGTCAGTCGAGGAGGGTAGGCTCACCAGGCTTACGGTCCCGAATTCCTTGAGCTTACCTTCCGAAATCTCACAGTTGGGCACGTTCTTGAGCTTGAACCAAACCCAAGGGCGCAACTTCTCCCCGAATGCGGTGCATGCGAGCATCACCGTGAGCCGCGTCTTCTTGTATCCTGCAGTGTGGATTGGGACCGAGTGCGCGCCACGGCGCTCGATCGTCCTCTTGGCCGGCATCTCAACGAAGAGCGGCGTCTGGTCCGCGTTGATGATGCGGGCCCGGTTGATGTTGTGCCGCGCCCGATTGATGCACACGAACTTCCAGAACGACTCGCAGTCCTTAGCGCACTCTGCAAAGGGAACACACGCCATGGCAGGACGAGATGGCTAGAAACAAAGGGCAAGGAACATGCAGTCATGCAAGGGGCAAGGAATTCAAGGCAGTTAACACTCACCAGCCGATAACCGTTGGCCGACCTTGGTCTTCACACGCATAACCAGGTTCGAGCGGTCACGGAAACGCTGGCTCCAGTGAGAGCTCGCGTTCCGGTTCTTGCCGGGGTGGTGTTTATTCATCCACTCGCGGCTCCACTTCTGGGTGTCCTTCACCGAGATGGCCACCCCATTAGCGCGCTCCAGGCAGACGTAGCGGTACAACGCCGCCTCCATGCCGGGGTAGTGTGCGTGGCGCCCCCCCCCCCCCCCCCCCGTGCATCCGCTTGCGGCAGTTAGCCGCTCCTTTGTAGACTCCTGCAGCAGCCTCCGCCCTCCAGCGTCTCATGCAAGCGATAGATGCGGTAGACTCCAGCGAGGTCTTCTTCAATGAGCCGAGCTCTTGGTAGTGGCGCTCCCACTTGAGCTTCTCGCGTACGGTCCATCTGTGGCGTCTTCTTACTGTCCTTGCTGCAAGGGGAAGGTGGACGGGAGTTGGGATTATGGAGGGTGGGGTCCTTCGGCTTCGCCTTCTCAGGGAATGAAGGAATCGGGGCTGCCGCCTCAGCGTAGTCATCGTCGCTGCGGAGCGCCTCGTTGACCAGGATGTCGTCCTTGTTTGACCCCTTCTTCTTTTTCTTAGCAGCACCCATGCTGGATCCGGGGTCGCCGTCGTTCTTCCGCTTCTTGGTGCTTGGGCGGCGACGAATGGTGGCCTTAGCAGGGGCATCCGCGACCTTGGTTTTCCCCTTCTCTGCAGTAGAGATGCGCGGTTGAAGCTCCTCCCCCGGACTGTCGTCATCAGAGAGCACCACGCAGGCACGCCTCGGCTTGGTCTGTAAGCGATGACGCGGCCTCCGTTTCAGAAGCGGAACATCGTCGTCACCCGCGATGCTCCACGGGTCGTCATCGGCACCTCCCTCCGCAGCATCCACATCCGCAATTGCGACCACATCCGCGGGCGCAACAGCATCGGGTGCCGCTTCCGCCTCCGCCTCGTCGTCAGCCTCCACATCTCCCTCCACCGTCGTCGTCCTCGCTTCCGCATCCGCCTCGTCGTCAGCCTTCGCACCGTCATCGCCCGTCGCTCCCGTTGCATGCGCAGCTGCCTCCACGTGCTCGCCATCAGCATCGACACCCTCGTCGTTGTCCGAATCACCAGCCCGCCACTCTTCGACTTAGTCGTCCCTCCTAACCGGCCGATTCCACCATTCGTCCTCATCGATGTCGGCAGGGGCTTCTTCATCCCCCGAAGTACTAACGTCGTGGCCGTTCTCTGGCCAATCCTCGTCGCCGTCGTCGTCGTGTTCTCCGTCGCCGTCGTCGCCGCCATGTCCTTCATCGCCGCCGCGTCCTTCGTCGCCATCGTCCCCGTCACAGCTCGCATGGGAGGCGGCGGTAGATCTTCCCGCCTTGCGCGTATTGTTCGTCATGGCAACACGGATGTCATCACCGGGCGAGTTAATTCGCCCGTAGTTATTCACCTGCACATGAGGGCGAGGTGAGGACGTGCCTGTGGGGACTTAACTGCGCATGGTTCCGGTAAGCCTGCCGAGAGCAAAGGTTGAGTTGAGATCTCAACCTCCTTGAGCACCAAATGAAGCTCACGCCCAACTACCCCCCCTAGCCACAGTGCCCCTTCCAAAGGTGCCGAGCCGCTCCTCTACGAGGAATCTCCTCGTAGGGGACAGCCCTCATGGTGCCATCGTGCTGCCAGCTGCGTTTTGGAAGCATCCAAGCGCTGCTGGCAGCAAAACGACACTGGCAGCATCATTAGATGCTGCCAGCACAGAGGGATGTTGCCAGCAGTGGCAGCTTTGCTGCATCCCTCACGTGGCAAGAGGGGGCGCTGCATGCATCACCACCGAGGTCGCCCTAATTCAAAGGTCTAATGGTACAGAGGTGGTTTCTACACACTTTGCAAGTGTCACAGAGTTCTTATTTTTTTTTCCATTTATAAGACTTATAAGACACCCTAAACCATCCCAAATACGAGATAACCCAAGCATTTTGAGTAGTGTACGAGATAAGACATATATGTCTACTATCCGGGCAATGACGGTAACATTGCCGAGCCTCTCTCTAACGTGCCTCAAACGTGAACGCGTGGCAATATCTCGTTCCTTAACAGATTTTTGTGTTTCGATATGCGCAAAATAAAATACCCCCCTCCTCCCCTTCGTAAGCCATACACTAAAGAAAACGGCTTCAATACGGTTTCAAGGAAGTCCCCCGGGTCCTATATGTGGGGGGGGGGGGGTACGATACATATTTATAAATACATATACATACATATTTAGGGAACTTTGCACCCATTCACTGTGGCCATTTCACTAGTCACCTTATCACACCTTATCTTGGTATATTGCCTAAATGGTTGCTTATATAAAGGATGACTCTTGTTGGTTGCTTCAAGTGGATAGAGTGCCAGGTGCTGAGGCTCCACTGCACCATCCTCGCAGATCCAGAGGTGCAGCATAAGAACATCACACTCCACTCCATATGCGTCCTAAAGTGTATGTCTCCAATGGGACCTCTGGGTCGCAGGTATCCAGGTCATGGACAGCGTTTAGGCGATACGAGAAAAACGCTGCCGTGTGAGAGAATCCAGACATGGATAAAACAAGAATGTCAGAAGCTGCCAAAAGGAGCCACTCTGTGATAGCGCCAGTATATACCGATGCTTGTTTAGTGGGAGTAGCTTTTGCTGAAGAGGGTGGTGAGGATGGATCAGCAGCATCGAGCATGAGGTTGTTGACATGCATCGGGACAATATCTGATACCACCACCTGTGACAAATATGAGAGTGAAATTTGCGAAACTTAAGGGAATAGTGTAATGAATGCCACCTACACAAATGGCACAATATGGAAGAGTGTGTGAGACCACAATGTGTGACATTGCCAGGGTTTAGGGCTTAAGGCTCAGGGAGGGGATGATCATAATGATGAAGAACCAAAGCGTAAGAGACGTGCTGAGGGAACCAGGAACAGTGTACAAGAAATGTTATGTGCCTGTGAAGCGTGGGAAAAGGAAGGTTGAAGGTTGGATGTAGAGTGTGTGTAGTGTGTGTGTGCGTGCGTGCGTGCATGCGTGCGTGGGTGTGTGTGTGGAGGGGTGGGGGGTGGGGGTGTGGGGGAGACGGAGGGGGTGGGGGTGCATATGATGCTTCATCGCCTTGTTCTTCTTTTTCCAATTTTGGTTCTGCAATTTCTTCTTTCGTAGCTATCTCCCAGATCTTCATAAACCTCCACCCAAGCCTACCTACTCGCCACCCCCCTGCCACGCGTTGAGCAGTTGCTGTTGTTAAGGAATTTTTCTCAGGCAACCCGCTCGCCCCCTTCTTACCTGCACTACCTCCCCTTGCAGAGTAGATATATGCTGGTCTCCGCCCTGCCCTCCCCCCCAGTTTCATTTCCCTCTCCCCATGCTTCCCCCCCCCATTCCACAGACAGACTCCTTTACCATTATGGAGAGAAAACAAATACCTTGTCAGGGTATATGAGTTTTAGTATTGCCTTCAAATCCTGAGAGTTGCTGATGATAAGCCATTTAACAATGGTGGGAGGGGGCACCCACCATGCCTCGAGCCTCTGTGAAAAACCGGAAGCTCGGAAATAAGAGGCACGAAAGTTACTGGAATGAACATGGGGGCACGCAATAGGATGCTCTGAATCCGAGGCACGTGAGGAACATGCATGGGAACTTGATACACGAGAGGGGGGAAACGAGTGAAGAAAAAGGGGGGAAGAAAACGCAGCCGACAACATAGAAAGGGAAAGGGCGGATTTTGATGGCACAATCCTTACAGCGAACTTGGCCAGTACCAACAACCCCCATATCGTATTCACCTGGGCACAAGCAACATAGCCCATAGCCCACTTGATGAGTTCAGTTCTCTCTGTCTCACTCAGAACCTTGGGATCTCCGAACCCACTCTCGCCCTGCCACACGAACGAATCAGGTGCTCTCATGTGCATGCCCACCACCACCACCCTATCGCTTGAGGAGTGATGGGAGGCCCCTGATTGTCCAGCACTCAGGTGATGAGGGGTTTGGGCTTGGAGGAGGGCCGAAGGGGGGGAGGAGGAGGCGAGAGGGGAGAAGAGGTGGTGGTACATAGCTTCGGTTCTTGACAGGATGTCTGGGAGGGGCCTGGTGGGGGTTGTCAAAGGGGGGAGGTGGGGAGGAGGGGGGGGACAGGGGTTGTGTGTGGAGGGGTAACGGAGAGGGTTTCTAGTCCACTGGAATCGTCACACACAGTTGACGTAGCTTGGATTGGAGAGTTGATGTGACATCTGATTGCAGCCTAAGGGGTGTTTGTCGAGAAGCAGGAGGCCCCAGGGCAAAGCAAAGTGAGCCGGGAAGGGGATAGGCTTGCAAGGGCAGGGGAATGAGTAGCTGTCTCGAAACCATGAAGCCCTGGGGCAAAGGTGCACATGGTTTCACATGACTTAGAGATGTGATATGTGCGCCAATGGGAGCGTACTTGATAAGAAAGCGGCGGAGGCAGCCTTTTGAGGTGCTCTCGAAGGTGTTATCCATGGGGGCCTACTGGAGGAGAGAGGGAAGAAAGCAGCCTTTTGAGGCGCTCCAAAAGGTGTTTCCCATGGTTACGTACTTGAGAAGAAAGCGGAGGATGCAGCCGAAGCTGTAGGGAGGCCGCATGCCCATGTCCTTGAGCCTCTCACTCCACTTCTTACCCTCCTCCTGAACCCAGCCAAGTGATATGGACAGCACATGGGCATGAAAAAGAGGGAGGAAAGGGCGGAGAGAGAATGTGCTATTTTAAGCCCTACCAGTCGAGCTATTTTGCATAAATTTGAGCACACCACCGCATTTAGTTTCCCATGCCCTCTCCATTTGTAACTCTCTCCACTTATTCCTCTCAGAACGGTCCTTTGTTTTGTATTAATGCTTATTCCTCTCCTGATCTCATCACTTCTCCTCTTCTCCCTTCCTCTCCCCTTCTTCCTCCCTTCCCCCTTCCCTTTTTCGTCCCGTTCCTCTCGCTTGTCGTCCCCTTTCTCACCCCACTTCTCCCCTAGTCCTCCCACTCCTTCTCCCCTCCTTCTCCCCAATTCCTCCATTTCTCATCCCCTTTCTCTCCCTTCCATTCCTTTCCCTTGCCCTCAATCAATTCTCCACTTCTCCCCTTTCTTCCACAAAAACACTACCCACCTGCACAAGACGCGCTGTGAGCACCCCAACCTCAGCCTCAGCCTCCCAACCCCTCCTGCTGCTTCACCTGCACATGTTGCTTACCTGTACGATCCAGCATGTGCGAAGGCCGGCCTTCCCATGTGAGATGACGCAAGAGTTCCTTCCTGTTTCTACAAAACCGCTTCACCCACCTCCGCAAGCCAGTACGTAAGCAGTCCTCTGTTCCACGACAGGCGCACGTTCATTGCCTTATCCAGCTGTGCGAATATGTCCTCCGGCTCCACAAACCGCTGATTCTTCAAGTCCACCTCCACCACCTCCCCATCCTGTACTACCTCCTCTGCCTCTTCTCGCCCTCCCCCCCCTCCTCCTCCTTCTCCTCGTCCTCCTCCTTCTCCTCCCTCTTCCCCTTCTCTTCTTCGTTCCCCCCCTTCTCCTCCTCCTCCTTCAGGCCCCCCTCCCTCGCCCCATCCCATCACATCATCAATATTCATCACGCGAGCCGGCTCCACAGGAACCTCCAATGAGAAGGACCAATCAATGAGGTTCGGCTCGAATGCAAGCGGCAGGAGAGCGTGCCGTACAATGAACGCCCGCTGAGTGAGCATGGCACATGCAAAGCTGGTGGCCAGCCCTGTGAGATAGTCTCCTAGCCCGCCTGGTTCATCCAGCCATTCGTATGTGAGAAAGCGAATGGATGGGTCCCTAGGCGGCTGGGGGTATTCGGCTGGGGGTGGAGGGGATGGTGGGGGCGGAGGTGGATGAGGGGGGGATGGTGGAGGAGGGGACGGGGGAGGGGGAGATGGAGGAGTAGGAGATAGCGGACGAGGTGAGGAAAGTAGGGGTGACGGTGGTGGTGGTGATGGAGGTGGGGGTGATGGTGGTGGTGGTGAAGGTGGTGGCAGCGGTGGCATGGGTGGTGTTTTCGCTGCGGCAGCAGCAACAGCAGCGGCAGCAGCAGTCTGAGCCAGGGTGCTGGCGTGGGCGCGGGCCGCTTGGCGAATGCGGGAGTGCAGGGCGGAATAGTCAGCCGCCCAGGTGCCACATTGCGCCTCGGAGAATGTGAAATCCAAGAACGGCCTGGGAGGGGACGCTAATGCGAGCAACGGGGAGAGGAGCTGCTGTCAGGGATGAAACAGAAGCAGGGGGGACGGGGTGAAATGGGAGAAGGAAAAGGGGTAGAATGGAATGTTTTAGTTGGGGGTTTGCTAATGAATGCGTGGAAGTGAATATGGCTGGGTGGGAGTGACCATGGCTGGGTGGGAGTGAGCATGGGTGGGTGGGAGTGACCATGGCTGGGTGGGAGTGAGCATGGGTGGGTGGAAGTGACCATGGCTGGGTGGGAGTGAGCATGGGTGGGTGGGAGTGAGCATGGGTGGGTGGAAGTGACCATGGCTGGGTGGGAGTGAGCATGGGTGGGTGGGAGTGAGCATGGGTGGGTGGGAGTGAGCATGGGTGGGTGGGAGTGAGCATGGGTGGGTGGGAGTGAGCATGGGTGGGTGGGAGTGAGCATGGGTGGGTGGGAGTGAGCATGGGTGGGTGGGAGTGAGCATGGGTGGGTGGGAGTGAGCATGGGTGGGTGGGAGTGAGCAAGGGTGGGTGGGAGTGAGCATGGGTGGGTGGGAGTGAGCATGGGCGGGTGGGAGTGAGCACGACGAGGTGGCCAGGCCGCTTGCTGATGGGCCATTTGGGCTTGCGGATCGGCTTGAATAGATTCAACGAATTTAACCACTGGTTCAGCAAAATCGTCTCACTGGCAGTGAGGCCGTGAAGCATCGGATTCAGATGAATCTTGGAGACAAAATTCCACAGTGTGCTGTGTAAGGAGGGGGGGTGAAACGACCTGCGTGGATTCGGTGAGAGAGATTATGGGTGGGTGACTCATGAGAGGATAAAAAGGTAAGGTGGCTTACCAATCTAAGGACGAGGCTCAACATTTGGAGGACAGATCTTCACCACCAACATACCTGTTGCTTCGCACAACTTTACATCAGTGGTGCCAATTGCAAGTCCGTTGCCTCTCTTGATTCTTTCGTTTTTTTTTTTGAGCGACTAATCTTGGGCGGATCCCATGATAAATTTGCCTAAAAAACACTCTGCGGGTAACAAAGCCCAGGATTCTCAAGGGGCACTTTCGGATTAATGCCTCGATACTCAATCACCTGAAAACTCTAAAAAATGAAAAAGCAAATTTCCAGTTTTTTTTTTTTTGAAAGCTTCATCATAAAGCTTTCCGAAAGAGAAACGGGAACAACTACATCTCAAAATCTATCTGAGAGAAGCTTGAACGGAAAATCACCTCGAAAGGCTGCACTCACGAGTAAGAAGGCGACGGCGAGCACGCGGCTATTACGGAGGACCACATGGCTACCTCGCCTTAACGTCATTGGGACGTCGCCTTGGTCGCACGCCGCCGCAACGTGGTTGTCTCGCATTTCAAGTTAGATACTAGGAATGAAGTTCACTAATTTCTTTGTCCCCCCTTCAATGTTTTGAACGAGTACAGAATTCAGCATACCGGTATGCGACGATGACTGTTGTGCTCTATCCCCCCAACCCAGCCAGCGCTCGATGTGTGAGCTTGCTTGCCAAAGCTAGCCAAAACAACTGACCAATACAGCAGTTGTGGTGGGTGGCACCTTTGCCTACGATTTGTGCGACTCAGTCGCCTGGTCTCAGCAGCCAGCAGATCATCCAGCTCAGCATTCCAACAAATCCCCGCCCAAAGCAGCTGATGTCATGACTTGCTAGCCAACCAAAGCCAGCCGGCTGGCCGAGGTGTATCTGAGGTCCCAGACCCCCAGCCCGAAGGTCAGGGAAGAAACACCTGAATGGTTCGTCCCAAAGCTAATATTGCAGTCCCAGGTCTGGACACCATCAAAGCTGCCCCATCAGACTACTACGAGTCTGATGTCCTGGTGGGGAATTATCCCACCGAACCTAACTTCAGCAGGCGACAGTGGTCGCCAGCATCGCCTGCATCGCGACCAATTGGGTTCTCTCATCTAAACGGTAAGACTCGCTTTGACCCAACTTCCTCGCCAAAAGAGTAGCCTGACATCTGGCCATTGTAAACAAACGAGGAAACAAAAACGGTGGATCTATAGCGTGTGTTATGAGTTGTACAACAGAGTTAAGAGGAAAACGGATAATATAATGAAGGCACGTGCTAATATAGTGACTACCATAGCTAGAAGGAAACCTCGGGAAAACGAGGTCGGGTGCAGGTTTGGCGAACGGAAAACCAAAGGCGACGCGGGGCAGCCTCGAAATCGTGGAGTCCGAAAGTGTTCGGGGTGTACGCGTAGCAGTCAACCCCGATAAGAAAAGAGAAATTTCCTAACACTACCACCACCACCCCTCCCCCCACCCCCTTTAAGAAATGTGGTCAATATCCGCAGCTCGCTTGCGGGCGAGGTAATCAATAACAAGCAGGTAAGCTTCAAGCGAGGTGGATTGCACTCATGTGTCGTCTTCACTAGTGCGGCAATCCAGCGGACTAGGAAGTCCATGCGGCGGCCAGAGGCGTTGAGCTGAACACGATGCGCCAAAAATTTTTACGGGTCAAGTGTCGGTTCCGGGACAGAGCGAGATGTCGGGGCGGCGTTTTGACGGGCAAAGTCTGTCGCTGCGGGCACGATTTTGCGAAGAAGGCTGATGTGGAAGGCGTCGTGCACACGCAAATTGTCGGGTAGGACCAGCTTCGCGGTGATAGGTGTCACCATTTTCATGATGCAAAACGGTCCACAAAATCGTGGCCGTAGCTTTGACGAGCTGGGAAGGCGAAGGTTCTTCGTGCCTAGTAGCACTAGTTGCCTAGCTGTCATGCCAATTTCCCGTCACAGCATGTCCATATATTTACGGGCAGTAGTGTTAGCCTTGCGGATGGCATCGACTGCTTTTTTGCGGGTCTCCTGGAGTTCATTAACAAAATGTTGTGACCTGGGGACCGGGTGTCAGAAGACTAAGCGAGTTTAGGAACTTAGGAGCCATGGAGCTAGGAAGGGGAATAGCGAGAAGCTTTGGCCAAACAAGAGAAAGGTTCACTATAGCATGAGATACAAGATATAGTGAAAGCATAGGAAGGGTGCACCACCAACAATAAGCAGTATGAATACACTATGATCTAGCCACAAGCAGTTATGCAACAGATATATAAAATATATATTAACACGCCCCCGTAGTGTAGCAAATGCCCCTTGAAGGGGTACACCATGCAGAGTCCAAAAGAAGAAGTAGAAGGCAAGTGAGGAGGAGGAAGGATCATGAGAGGAGAGGAGGTGGTGGGCGACGGCTGAAGCTGCTGGCACACGGGCTATTGGAGCAACTGGCACACGAGCAACTGGAGCAACTGGCACACGAGCAACTGGAGCAACTGGCACACGAGCAACTGGAGCAACTGGCACACGGACAACTGGAGTAACTGGCTCTGCGGCTAGACGAGCGGCTGGAGCAAATGACTCACAGACGACAAGAGCAACGGCTCACGGGCCACTGGAGCAACGAGCTCACGGGCGCCTGGAGCTGCTGGCTTCACAGCGGCCACCCCCCTTCAACCTCCCCCTTCTCACCAAACCTCCCTTTCACACCCTTCGGCATCCCTACCGCCACTCCTTCGTCTCTCCACACCCTTCCCCCCAGAGCGGCATGTGCGGCAGTGGGAGAGAGAGGAGGGGCGGCAGCTAATTACGCACACCTGCCACCCCCATACCCTCCCCCCCACTGCTGCACCCGCAGCAGGGTGATGGAGGAGAAGGGGGGGCGAGGGGGCGGGGTAGGAGCCGCGCGGGCGGGCAGAGACCGTCGCGCATCCAAGGCGCGCGACGGGCAGAAACCGTCGCGGGCGCGCGACGGGCAGAAAAACGACGCATTAGCGGAAGCTTAAGGGTGGGCCCAATGAGGCAGGTCCTAGGAGGAACCTGGCGCTGATACCATGTCAGAAGACTAAGCGAGGAACTTAGGAGCCATGGAGCTACGAAGGGGAATGGCGAGAGGGTTTGGCCAAACAAGAAAAATATTCACTATAGCATGAGATACAAGATATAGTGAAAGCATAGGAAGGGTGCACCACCAACAATAAGCAGTATGACTACACTACGATCTAACCACAAGCAGTTATACAACAGATATATAAAACATATCTTGACACCGGGTTGTCAAGTGTAGTCGTGGTTGGCACCACCGGGTCCATCCCGTAATTCAAGAAGAACGGGGAATGATAAGTCGTGTTGGATGTGTGAAGAAATGCGGAATGAATGAACTAGCAAGCAGGTGGGTACAAGTAGGAAAACCTAAAAGTGTTGTACCCCATATTGTCTACCCCACTACAGCCTACACAGACTATAGCATATGAGTTTGACACACCCCCGTAGGCAAAGTGGGGAGGAAAAAGAGGTCACAAGACCAGTCAAGCAAAGCAAAGCAAGCTCAGGGTGGATCACAATGTCACCACACAGTCCGAGCACAAGAGCAAAGCCACAAGGCCAGTTCACATGCAAGATCATATATAAAGGTAAACAAGCAAGTGCAGGTATAGAAAGATCACAGTACAAGCAAGGTCAAGAAGTGGGTGACGAGAAGTGAGAATGGAATGAATGAACTATGAAACAGTTGGGTACAAGTACTAACCCTAATTGGGCTGTACCCCTTATGGGCTACCCCACTACAGCCTACACAAATGTATAAGCTATAATGTTCTGACACACCCCCATAGGCAAAGTGGGGGAGAACAAGTGGTCACAAGACCAGACAAGCAAAGCAAAGCAAAGCAAGCTCAGGGTGGATCACAAAGTCACCACACACTACGAGCACAAGAGTAAGGCCACAAGGCCAGTTCACATGCAAGGTCATATATATAGAGGTAAAACAAGCAAGGGCAGGTATAGAAAGAAGACAGTACAAACAAGATCAAGAAGTGAGCAAGTGAGGCCAGGTAGGCACAAGACCTAGCAGAGTACAGAAGCGCTGATGATCACAAGGCGGAAGTGCCTTGGTGAAGATATCAGGAGTGTTGGCCTCAGAGGCCACGTAGGTGAGGCTGAGCTGAACACGCTGCTGCAGCTCACGAGACAGGAAGTAGCGGAGAGCAATGTGCTTCGTTCTGTGCTCCAGTCTGTGCTCCCTACACAAGGCCAGCATGGCCTTGTTGTCTACGTACAGAACTGGAGGAGAACGAGGCGGCTCTCCTAGGTCATTCAGCAGGTAGGTGAGCCAGCGTAGCTCCTGTGCAGCCATGGCCCCTGCGTAGATCTCAGCCTCACAGCTGGAGCCGTGAACAGAGGACGAGCGGGTAGACCGCCACAAGACAGAGCCGGAGCCAAGGCTGAAGGTGTAACCCTGTGACGGCCGCTGCGTAGCCTGGTCTTCAGCCCAAGAAGCGTCAGCGTGACCTATGAGGACTACTCGACGTCGCCCTCCAAGCACTAGCCCCATGCCCGACGTACTGCACAGGTAGCGCAACACCCTCTTTGCTGCAGCCATGTGCTCTCGTCAGTGTCTCCTAGGAGCAACATAGCGTGCCAAGATGCTAAGAGGGTATGCAAGGTCAGGTCGTGTGCAGGTCATCAGGTACATGAGGCAGCCAACAAGCTCTGGGTACGGGCCACTCGACTCTACGGACTCATCCGAAGGCAGAGCTAAGAGCGAGTGGCGAGTAGACAGAGGAGTGGCCTGAGGCGAGGAGTACGTGAAGGCGAAGCGCTGAAGGACCTGCTGCACCATGTGTGACTGAGTCAGGGTAATGGTGCGCTGTGCTCTGTCCCGGGTGATCTGCAAGCCAAGGTAGCTGCGCAGTTCACCCAGGTCTGTGCACGTGGGTCTCTTCTGCAGCTCGGACTTCACGTGGGCGAGTCCAGCAGTGTCAGTAGTGGCAAAGACTACGTCGTCGACGTACACGAGGATGTAGAACGGCGGCAAAGAGGTGTCGGTGCATAGAAACAGCGACGGGTCGGCTGTAGAAGGAGCAAACCCAAGAGCCGCAAGTGTAGTCCTCAGTGTGTCGTGCCACTCACGGGGCGCCTGGCCGAGACCGTAGACTGGCCGCTGGAGGCTCCACTGGGTGCCAGGAGGAAACGACCTAGTGAAGCCAGGAGGGCGGCGCAGCCAGATCTCCTCGTGCAGGCTACCCTGCAGGAAAGCTGTGCTGAAGTCAAGAGAGTGAAGCTCGTAGTCGCGCTGAGCGGCTGTGTGCAACAGCACCCGAAGAGTGGTCATCTTCGGGGTGGGAGAGAAGGTCTGACAGTAGTCAACTCCCTGCCGCTGATTGAAGCCTCGAGCCACGTAACGCGCCTTGAAGACAGGCGGAGAGCCCGGCGGCCGCTTCACCCTGAAGATCCACATCCCACTGACGATGTTCGCCCCAGGTGGGGGAACCTCGTCAACGTAGGTG